CAGCTGGGTTTCACCGCAGTTGCTCTGTGACATTAGCGACTGTGGAAGAATGATTTGTTTTTATAACTATCATGAGGAGATTCAGTTCTGAGCGTACAGAGCAAGGAGATCCATAGAGCAGGAAGGTGACAGCTTTACATGTTAGCTCGTGGGAGTAGCTGTAGGCTTCCTGAGAAATGCCTGCGAGAGCTTGTCTTTGGGTTGGGTTGGTGGTTGGATCATAACCATTCATACACATGGCTCAGATATCCCAAATAAAGTATTGCTTCCCATTGTGATATTGGCCATAATTTGCTTCATTGCCTGGCAGTTTCAAATTATTTGACAATAAAAGTGTCAGCAAGCCTATAAAAGTAAAACACATGCTTAGAGGAAGATGCTGCTGCTTTTTTTAAAAAATGGTATACAGTGACTTTGAAGAAAAGAACTGTGGCCTTTTGTAGTCTACAGTTTTCAAATCTAAAGTGTTACACAAAGTGTTTTGTGATGCTTCACAGAGGTTAAGAAAGCTAAAATCTATATCAAAATGTGTATTATTTTTCTGGGCTGCAAGCCAAAAATGTACCTATGAATTTGCATTTTGTGGTGGCAATAGCCTGTGAAAGTAACATGGCCGCATGTTGTAACAACCCGTTACAACCTGTGTTGTTTCAGAGGGACGGGAGGGGAAAAGAGCTTTTGCACATGGTGTGGTGTAGCATTTCAGTGATGGTACTGATTTACAAGCCTGTATTCACTTTAAAATCAACAGGGCTTGAAGTGTTTTCACCAAACTCCCATCCTGGGTTTGGGCACAGGGAGCAGAACCCCAAGTTCGGTCAGACACACAGGGGCTGCTGCCAGTGGCACCGAGGACCTGCTGGGTAAGGGCTGGGAAGCTGCTGTAAGGAGGGGCCCATCCAGCCAATCCTTTCTGCAAGGCTGTGGCATGTGATGTGTATTTCTGCTTCTTTTCGACTTGATACCCTTTCATGTACAAAATGATTTTAAGTTGTGGTGTCAGAACTTTTCCCTGTGAAAGGAAAAGTAATTTTTGAGGTAAGTTCTAAAACAGATGGAGAAGGCAACTTTTTCTTTTTTGGTGCTGCTGGCTAACATTGTGTTAATGATACATAAGCAAGTCATTCTGTCAGTAGAGCAACTGACAGGTTATCTGATTTTTCTCATACTTTACATTGTTCAGTTTTAGTTAATAATGTTTACAGTATTTTGCAATATGTTTGGAAGGAAAGATGATACACGGAACTGAAACCTTCCTCAGAAGAGCTATCCCCATGCTTCCAAGAAGGGGTTTGGAGTGTTTTTGCTATACGTCTTTTACTTTATACCTTCTTAATAATTACTGAAAACAAATGGGAACAGTAACATGGAATTTTAAGAGAGTGCTCAAGTCTTCTGACTGTTAAATCTGCTTTATACACCATGCACTTTTCACCCTAAAATGAAGCCAGGTAGGATTGCGTTGCTTTTGCTCCCAACAAAGTGATGCAAAGCAAGATTAGCTTCTTTCTTGGAAGGTTTTGAAAGAGTTTGAGCTGTGCAGTAAAAGACTTCATCAGCTTCAAGCTAAATCAGTGAGCATTTTACATACAACCGCACACCTCTCTGATCAGCAACACTCCTCCTCTGGCTGCGTTCTTGTTCGAGACACCTCGGAAACCTGGCAACCTGAGACACGTTATCTCCACATTCATTGAAATCAGCAATTAACAGCTGCATCCTTGCTGAAAAAGGA